GTACATAGTCCATCATACGAGTCTTTTCTTTTACAGACGTCTTACTCGGCCCGTTTTCAAGCTTATGTCAAATCAATCACACAAATCGCTTGCCAGACCTTTTCTCAAGCTCATGCAACGTTAGTTTCTCACCCGTTTCTCTTCTGGACATCTTGTCAGGTTTTTTCTCAAGCCTGCGCAAAGTCAATTACTCATTCATTCTTCTCTTCTGGAGATCTTGGCAGGCCTTTTCTCAAGCTCATGCAACGTTAATTACTCATTCATTCTTCTCTTCTGGACATCTTGCCAGACTTTTTCTCAAGTCTGCGCAAAGTCGNAGTCTGCGCAAAGTCGATTACTCATCCATTCTTCTCTTCTTGACGTCTTGCCAGGCCTTTTCTCAAGCTCATGCAACGTTAATTACTCATTCATTATTTTCTTCTGGACATCTTGCCAGGCCTTTTCTCAAGCCTGCGCAAAGTCAATTACTCATCCATCCTTACGCTCATGGTCTCCTTCTCTTTTGCACGTTTTTTCTTCGGTAGATGGCACACCTTCCCCCCACTCAAAATGCGATGTCCCCATCGCACGACTAGTTCTCACTCGGAGGTACGCAACCTTTGGCCCACCAACGAGTAGGCGGATGCGGGCCCATCAACCCCAAAAAGGAAGGGTGATCAGTCCTCCCCCTGCTGATAACTCACCTCATCCCCTTGCTCCGTCAGACCTTTTGCCACTTACGAGACGGGCGTCATTACTGAGGTGTCTCCTCACATCTGGAAGGCTGGTCCATTCCAAGCCTCCCAGGACCCCGTCTTGTCGTAAGGGCTCCCTTGCGAACCGTTCCTCCCTAATGGTAATTTTCTGGATCCGGCCTCTTCCTTTCAAGAGAGTTGGGGCTCTCAATTAGTCCACGAGTGCAGTTACGAAGACCTCGCAATTAGTCCCGAAGCGGTTGTAATGCTCCGGCGGGACGGTGTCAATGCCCCGTGGTGGTTGTGGCTTTCACCCGGTGCCACGCTCAACTCCTCCCTTTTGGACAGTGCTGCTCAACTTAACGCGAGTCGCCGTGGTCCATTCCAAGTGGCCATGCCGCCCCTCAACGACATGGCGTGTGGTTAGGGAGAACAAAAGAGACTAGAAAAAAAGAATGGCTCTCTCGCCCATTTGGTTCCCTCACCCTTTGACGTTTAGGCGTTCAACACGAGGCGCAATTTGAACTTCCCGACTAGAGCTCGTTGTCGAGGTCAGTTCCGGACGTCCCGCACCGATCCAAGTGGTAGGTGCCTTGGTCCTTTAACCCTCATCCCCTTACAAGAAGAACAGGTCGCACTGAGACTTTTTCCCTTACAGGGATAGAGGTCTTGGGGTCGCGGTGCGAGCACCAGTATCCCCCTCCTGCTGAGGTCAAAGACTAGAAAAAGAGAAATCCATTTGAATGCTATTTTCAAGTCCATTTCAAGTTGCCTAGGGTCCCCTGCCTATGCAATGCAATATTCAATCCTCAATCATTCAATCCAATGCTATTTTCAAGGTTGATTCTCATGACTGGTCTGACAGCCTCTTATCAATAAGGCCACCCTCACGGCCGGTCTGGCGGTCATTCTCTCAATAGTCATTTCTCAAGACTGACCCTTCCGCCCACTCAATCCTCAATTTTCTCATTCCTCAACACTCAATTTTTGTGACCGTCCCAACGGTCCCTGCCCTTCTCGGCTTTAAGGCTCCGCCTTCTTTATCTTGTCCTTCTCATTCGCATTTTTCTTCCGCCCCCTTGGCAATTTTCAGTGGTCGACCCACCGGCCTTTTCCATTTCCTCCATTCAACTCGTTGGTTATTTCAACGACCGACCCACCAGTCTTTTCTACCTCTCTCATCCATCCTTTGGCTATATTTAATGACCGACCCACCGACCTTTTCCATTTCTCTCATCCCATTGGCTATTTCAATGACTGACCCACAGGCCTTTCCCATCGCTCTCATCCCGTTGGCTATTTCATTGACCGACCCACCGGCCTTTCCATCTCTCTCATTCATCCCATTGACTATTTCAATGACCGACCCACCGGACTTTTTCATCTCTCCCATCTCATTGGCTATTTCAATGACCGACCCACCGGCCTTTTCCATCTCTCTCATTCATCCCATTGGCTATTTCAATGACCGACCCACCAGCCTTTCCCATCTCTTTCATCCCATTGGCTATTTCAATGACCGACCCACCGGCCTTTTCCATCTCCTATTACTCATTCCAGCTCATCCTCAATCAACCTTTCTTAATTAAATATGCATGGGACCCCAGTGCCTATTTCAAAAGGAATAACCCTTGTTAGGGGTCATTCCCGAACAACCTGGTTAGGGTCGTTCTTTTCCATTCTCAAGTCGAACAGCCTGGTTAGGGTCATTCCTTTCCATTCTCAAGTCGAACAGCCTGGTTAGGGTCATTCTTTTCCATTCTCAAGTCGATCGGCCTGGTTAGGGTCATTCCTTTCCATTCTCAAGTCGAACAGCCTGGTTAGGGTCATTCTTTTCCATTCTCAAGTCGAACGGCCTGGTTAGGGTCATTCCTTTCCATTCTCAAGTCGAATAGCCTGGTTAGGGTCATTCCTTTCCATTCTCAAGGTTAGTGTCCGAGGGGGTGGGCCTCGAGGTTACGGATCCCATTTCTGTCTTGGAGGTTAGAAGGTGGTCATCTCATCTTTTGCGTGTTGTTCTCTTTCTTTCATTTCTCACAGTAATGTACTATCCATTCCATTTCTCACAGTAATGTACTATCCATTCAATTTCTCACAGTGACGTACCATCCATTGCGTACACCCGACTTAGTGTCTAGCACTCGAGTTGGGGCTCGCGACCCCAAGCAACACTAACGCACCCGGCCGTTCATCCATAATAAAAGACAAAATCGCCCCTTTCATTTTCACTCTTCCTGATCTCCTGGTTTCGGCTTATTCTCAGTCTCATTCACGACTCAGTTGGATTAGGCTCCTAAGGAAGGAGTGTTCTTCACGCCCCTTAACCCATAGGTTCCCTAACCTCTCTTGTACTCGACCAATCACTCAATGTCATGGTTTGCTCGTCAATCCGTACTCAAGGTTTTCCCCTCTCAAAAGCATAATCCTTGTTCCATCCAAAATTCACAATACGCCTTCTCCCAATTAGTCTCATCCCAAATTCCATGTCTTTGTCTTAGGTACCCAAAGTAGCTCATCCCAAAAAGTAGCCTCCAAAAACTATCTTCTATCTTATCGTGACACAGCCTTAGCTGGCCCTCTTTTCACTTCATCCTTAGCAAGCTTGCCCATACTATACACGTTCTCGGCATTCTCATATCTCTGCAGACAGAAAGCAGCGATCCTTTTCAGTGCTAAGTCAACACCTAGTTCCTATTACTGCCTTGCGCCTCATCTCGCCCAGTTCCTTGTCCACCCCGTTCCTCGGCAGGCTTCCTAACCCCCAGGCCGTAGGTCTCGATCTCCCTTTTCATCCTTACAATTTTACGCAACTCTGCCTCGTTGAAAAAATCCAGTGGTGTGGCTTCCACCCCTGCCCTTGCGAGTTCCCGAGTCTTGATAATCCATTCGTGCCTGATTACATTGGTCCAGTGCTGAAACCAATGACTGGGCGTTGGCCCAAACTCGTCCTCCCATCTGAAAGCCCCATCGCCCGGTTGGTGCATCGGAGACCGCCCCTCTTCCCTAGGCCTTGAGATCTCATCCCTCTCATCCCCGCTGCTGATTTCTATGACTTATTGCACATCCTCCTCCTCGTCCTCCTTGTCTTCAGTCTGTATGGGGCTATACTCACCAGAAAGGTTCTTTGGATCGTAGGTAAAAGGGATCTTTGTCCCCGTCCCATACCCCTCGCAACTACCGTGACCGCTTCGTCCTTCAAGCGGACTCTCCGTTTTCTCCTCGTCCTCCTCACGTTCGTCGCGCATACCTTGTCCCCCCTCGCTTTCCCCATGCCAAGTCTCACGTGGCTCGCCCCTGTTGGCCCCTTCCTCGTTAGAGACCCGAGCCTTATCACCCATTTCTGTGTTGCCTCGTTCTTCCACATTTGCCCTTCCCTTTTCGCCCTCACTGTCAGATGATATCTCTATACCTTCTCCCTTGCGGAGGGGTGAAGGTTTCCTACACAAGCATTTTCTTCCACCCCTGCCTACCACTGGTCTGCCCATGAGCCCAATGTACAATTTTCTCTTTGTTGTCCTCCTCCCTTGGCTTGGTCCCGCTTCTTCCCCTCCGGTAGGCCTGTTGATCGCCCCGCTGTCGTTCTCGTTGCCGATTCCATTTTTGTTTTTTCTCGTTTTACTCCTAAGCCCTGTATAGCAAAACAACACCCGCAATGTCCCTCACACACTCGCGCCTTCCCCCCCCCTTAGGCCGGTAGACATTCCCAAAATGCACCCAGTATCCCTCGCATCACGCCCCTTTTATACATGTGAATACGTCGTTTGTGATGACCCCATATTTTTCTCGTAAAAAACTACGGTATAATGCCCCAAACATCCCTTCCCGTTATCACACAAGCCAGATATTGCAAACCCCCAGTCATGCTGCCTTCCAACCTCAGTCGGTCCAAGCCAAAGCGCCAGTCCCAAAAAATGACAGTCCTACGAACATGGTTAGAGACAAACCATAGTGTGGGCAAGGCTGTGGTTAGTCTTTAGCTTGTAGCTCATCTGTTTCCTTATCTTCGGCCTCCTGAAGCCATTGTTCCACCGAGTCCCGACTTAGAAACCTGACCAGTCGTTGCCCCGGGAAGGGCCCTTTCAATCCAGTCCCATTAAAATCTTCCAGTTCGAAGGTGTTCAGTCTCACCTGCTTGGCGACCCGGTAGGGGCCTTTGAACCTCCTTCCCAACTGTCCCGACCAAGTACTTTCTAGTGCCGAGTTCCTTCGCAATACCATCTCCCACACCTGAAGTGGCTCCTTTCTGACATTCTTAACCTGGTCCCACCTTGATTTGTCCGTCATTCTGCTATCCAGCACCCGGTTGGCGATGTCCTCCATGACCTCCTCATTCTTAAGGATTTGTTGACATTTTGCCTCGATTAATTCGTCAGTGGTTATTTGCGGATCATCATCTAACCTATTCCAGGCAGGTACCAAGGCTTCCACAGGAAATTCGATCTCTTTTCCGTACCAAAGCTCTGTCGGGATACATCCTGTTGTCCTTTTAGGAGTCATATTCTCCGCAAAGACAGTCTGCTTAAGACACCTAGGCCAGTTCCCCAGATGGTCTGCTGCGAGCTTTGCAATCGTGTTCTTCAAGGTTCGGTGCCCCCTTTCCACAGATGCATTGGCCTCAGGGTGATATGGCTCGATGAGTTTGATCGGAACGCAGAGTCCCTTAAGCATCCCCAATACTTCTTAGTTCACAAATTCCGTCTCATTGTCTGCTATAAACCTCCTGACGAACGGATCCCTTAAGTATAAGTCTTCTATCCAGTCCGCCACACTCTTCCCTGTCTTTTTCTTGAGGGCGACTGCCTCCACGAACCCACTCAAGTTGTCTCGCGCATCCAGGATATACCTGTACCCATCCGTTGATACAGGCATGACTGCAAGGTCGAGGTGGACCAGATGTCCCGGTCCTAGCACCCGTGTTGGTCTAAGCGGCTCGAAGACTCGTACCGAGCTTCGTTCTTGGCAAATAAGGCAAGTCTGGCAGTATATGGCGACCATGTCTGCCATGCCTGGCCAATAATAGAGCGGTGTTATCTTTGCAAGTGTTCCTTTGGACGACCGATGACCTCTAGCTAATCCATCGTGCATTGTCTGGATAACGTCTACTTGCCTAGACCTTCTGCACACAACCCTTCTAGGCATAGCACCTTCCTCCCTTCGGAACAAATGCCCGCCCCTTAGGACGTACCTTTCGGCCTCTTCTTTTGCCTTAATACTTACTTCTGTAGGTTGTTTGTTTCCTACCAACAACAAATCGATCTCCCGAAAGAGCCCTTCGTAGGATTGGACATAGAAAAACTCCTCTCCTTCCTTGCCCCCATCCTTTCCTTCCTGCATCTGATTTACCACCCATCGCAACTCTTTCCTTTCCCAAGATTCCACTAAACTCACCACTGCTTCCCGGCCTCCTTCGACCGCCATTGCTATTAGCTCCTCTTTCGGTCCTACTATCGCTCTCCATGAGTCATTTTCTTCTCTGTGTCCTCGAGTGGTGACTGGTCTTTCTGTCAGCTCTGTTACTACGGTGGGTGCCCCCTTCTCCAAAGTCTGGATCAATAGTCCTCCCGATGTGCATCCCTCGCTCATCATTTCGTTATCCACCACGAGAGTCTCTCCTTCGTATTCGAGGAAGGCGTCTATGGGCTCTGCATCCTCCATCCCTTTGGGAGTTATGCAAACCCGACTCAGCCCATTTGCCTTGTTGCGGATTCCAGCAATCCGTTCAATCTTGTAATCGAACTGCCAGATGAATCCTACCCATCTCCCTGCCGTCGGATCTATAGAACTGTAATTCTTTAGAGTCTTTGCGACATTCGTCGGATCGATCCTTAAGATGAACCGCCTCCCAAATAGGTAGGCCTGGAAGGTCTTAAGGCAACGCAGGATGGCTAGGACTTCTTTCTTGAATTGCGAGTACCGCCGTTCTACGGAGTTCAGGGTTTTACTTTCGAACCTAATCGGCCTCTCTTTTCCTCCCTCATCCCTTTGAATCAACACACCTCCTACGACCAAAGGTCCTCCATCCGTCTCTAGGATGAAGGGTCGTCTCACTTCGTCATTAAAACAAGGCGCGGACAGGGTGACTGTCTCAGATGTCAATACGTCCTTCAGCCTTTGGACAACTCCTTCTCGCTCCTCCGTCCAATCCATGGTTCCTTCTTCCCTGATCATAGCCCGGATAGGCTCAGCAATTTTGGCAAGGTTCTTAATGAAGATCCTCCAAAAGCCGACTACGCCTAGGAATGCCCTTACCTCCGTTGTCGTGCGCAACGGTGTCGGCCATTGTGATATCTTGTCGGTTTTTGCCGGATCAGGCTTCCTGCCGTAAGCACCGCAACGAAATCCTAGTATAGTTACCTCCGGTACTGCTAGGATACTCTAGCCGTAATGTTGTATACTAGGAAAAGTCGGAGTAGATCCTTGATGTCCTGCCGGTGGTCCCACATAAAACGTCGGATCCCTGGCAGGACTTCCGTCTCATCCTTCTCCTGCGCGTCTTTGATCGGATTGTCATCGATGTAAGGTTCACATTTCTCTAGGAACATGTCCCCAGCCACAGCGAGCATTCTGCGTTGCGCTTCGGCCACCACGTTTGTGAATCCCATAGGTGTCACTTGCATCTGTAGCTGGCCTACGGGGGTGTGCATAGCAGTGTATGGTCTGTCCCGAACATCCAATGGAAGTTGGTCGTACCCTAAGTACAGATCTATCAGGGAGTAAATGCTCCGACCGGCGTGCGATTCTACTAATAACTCAGCCTGAGGTAGCGAGCCAGCATCCCGGATGGTTACCACATTCAACTTCTGCAGGTCCTGAATCCACCTTAGTGTCTTGTTAGGCTTCCGAAAGACGAACCACCGATTTGCGTATGGCGATGTCGTAGGCTCTGCAACGAAGGAGTCCATCTTCGCTCGGAGGAGGTCTGTTACTTTTCCTGCTATCCCAAATTCATAGGATGACCCCTTATCATTCCAGCACTCATGTTCTACCGTGTGGATTCTGAACAGAGGGATCAACTTCGCATCCATTCGTCCCTTCTGGTGATCACTAAAGGCAAATGTCAGGTGAAACTTCTGGCAGGTCCTTTTGATCATGCGGGTTTCTTCTTCCGTTAAGAACCCGTCTATCCTATCTTCATTGTGTCTGCTACCTCATCTGGTATCCGATGTCCCTCCGTCGCCCTTCTTTCTCGGATCACTCGAAGGACCTCTTCCTCCTTCTCCATAGCCTCTTCCTTTGACGCCTCTAGCAGGATCGAGACCGGTTTTGTTTTCTTCCCTACCGTCTTGTACTTTCGAACACTTCCTTCCGGGATCTTTCTCCTAAAAAATGAACAGTCGGGATTGCCCTCGTCGCCTCTACGACTCGTGGTTGAATACTAACTAGTTTCCCATTCAGGCAATACCCCTTTTGCACCTCCCTTTCGTACTTGGCCAAGGCTGTCGAATCCACTCTCACCTTGTGGTATTTGAGGGCCTTGATGAGTTGCAATAGATCGGGGATCTCGAGTGTGATTTCCAGCACGTCTATGCGTACTTCTTTCCGTTTGGGCAGGCTAGCACCAAGTTCGACCTCTGACTCCTTTTCCGCTACCATAACACCTAGAACTTCGTCCTCCTGCCTCCTCTTCTTCTGGGGCAGGCCCATCTTGATCCACTCCTTTTTGTTGAATGCTTCCTCAATCATGATTTCTACCCTTTCTCTCATTGCGAAAGCCCCTTTCCGTGTGCTATCCTCGAACGACGGCGACCATGTTGCCAATTTCCCCTTCAGGGGGTCTCCTCCCGTTCCAAGGAGTCGAAGGACCTCTCCCCGGCCAGTCACAGGGTCCTCTATGTCTACCATGTACGAGCCATCGTGCAAGTGCCTGCCTATCATCTCTACGTTCGCGCACCACGGTCTTCCGAGGATTATGTCGTGGTCCATTTCCTCCATTACAGTCATCCACTGAAACGACCAGATCGATTCCCTGACCCCTGCCTTCACAGCACACTTCGTGACGTACCCAGCGAACGGAATTTCCCCGCCAGCTCCTCGGATGCTCCCTGTTACTTCCTTGTTCACCGTACATCCCGTGATCGTTGCGAAATCTCTCCTTATAAGAGTGATTTCTGCTCCCCCATCTACTAATGCGTCGGTGTGATGACTCCTGATCTCGATTTTCAATTTCCCTACGGGTAGCGCATGAAAGCTAAGCTTCGTCCCGGGTGGTGATCTCATGACTTCGCCGCCCTCTCGGCCGGGCAAGCTCAAACGAATGTCTGCAGGCCCTTTCGAGATCCTCCAAGTCTCCGTGACTCCTCTGAAGGTTAGCCACTTCTTGTGGAGCTTCCTCCTCCCTCTCCCCTTCTGGTAATTCGGGGTTGTCGCCTATTTCTACTCGCCTCCGAGTCAACAGTTGTTGAGCCCCTTGAGCAACCTAGGGCTAGCATGCAGCATGGTCTGAAAAGACACCGACACCATGGTTCCTAGTAACTTGCTAATAGTGTCGTCGAGCTCAGGCAAGGTCAAGATCGGAATTTGATACCTAAACTTCTTCTTGGCGGCGGTAGCCTTGTCCGAAGGCTCCTCTTCCCTAGGCTTCCCGTAGACTTTCTCTGGTTCCTCGGCCTCAGGCTCTGCCTGGGGTTCGGAGCTTCCAGCGACCTCCTCCATAATGGTGTCACAGTTAATCCTTCTCCTGGCCGTTCCCAATCGAGTGGTTGCATTCACCCTATCATGTCCGTCGCTTTCCAAAATAAAGTTGGTCTGCGGCCCGCGCCCCCGGAGCTGATCCCAGATGATCTCGCCCACCAGTTCGGCTTCTACGGCTGTTATTTCTAGACCGTTGAGCATGATAATAGCTCGCCGCATCCCTCCTGGTGAGTTCCAATTCACCCGTTCTCCTTGCGGTCCAAATATCTCCCCCTTTAACGACCTCGTACACCTTCTTTTCAGAATATCATGGTTGAGCTTTGGGCATGCGCGCACATAATGTCCTATCGCGGTGCTGTACTTGCATTGCTCGTTAGCAGGATCTCTCCGTTCAAATCTCCGGTTTGCTACACCTGGCGGGACCACAGCTTCCTGGGGAGGGAGGGCAGGTCGGGATACTTGCGCTTGCATAACCATTAGCGCGCCTTCCATCCTTTCAATCTTATTGTCGACCCCGTGCACCCGTTCATGTAGACTTTCAATCCCCTTCTTTACCTTGTCACCCGTCCTACCGGTCAGATCTATGATCTCTCCTTCCTTGAGCAAGGCCAACGTCTCCGTTACTACCAGTTTCTCAGTCAGATCCGTTACCATGCTAAAATCAACATCCCGCGTGTTTACGAACTTGCTCGTTTATTGGTAGGCTGACAGGATCTTGTCTTTATCGAACTCGGAGAACTGCCTGAGGAAATATTTGCTCATTATCCGGTCCGTGACCCCGGGGATCCTTAGTGCTACCAGAGTAAATTCTCGTAGGAAATCATTGTACGTTGCGAAGTTCTTCCTCTGAACTGCCGCTAGGTCGGCCTCCGTTGCCATTTTCTCTGCCGCTAGGTGCTTCCTCATCATCACATTCCGGGTCTGCTTCCAAGACCGGCTTGCGGCTACAATGACCATTATGTCCCGTCCTAGGCTTAACGACACATGCTGTCCTAGATGGTCCATCTTTTCCTCCTCGGTCCATTTTAGTAATGCAGCTAGGTTCTCGTAGTCGATTAGGAACTCCGTGATGTTTGCTCCATCGAAAGTCAGTTTTTTCTTGGCGTCTGCCAGATAGCCTTGATTTTTGTTTAGTGCTCGAGCGAGGGACGATACTATCTTCTTAAGGCCGCCCTCGAAGCTGTTGGCCTCGCCTCCCACACTATCATCCGGACTTTCCTTGCCGGCCTTCTGTCCCTCCCTGGTTTTCATAGTCCCTTCCGGGTCAAACCATCCCAACACTCTTTCCCTAAGGCTCCAAAGTCCTTCGCATCCTCGCGCTACTGCTGGCGTGATCGGCAGGCGGCTAGCCCTACTATCCATGGCTGGCTGAGTCGTAGCCTTTTCTGCTTCCATCCCCGGAGAGTTTTCTCTCTCTTTCTTTCTCTTTATCCCCTTGTCCAATCCCACCTTGGTTGGCTCTCCGTTCGTCCCGGGGTTCCTCCTGCAGTGGACCTTCCTCGTTCCCAGTCATCATTTCCTCAATCAATTTTGCCTTGTATTCCGCGGTCCTCTTGTCTATCTCGGCTAGTCTGTGCCTCGTACCTGTGACCCTTACTTTCTTAAGCATGGTTCCTTCCGAGTTTCGGGGGCTTGTCCTATCCTTATTTCTGCCTCCCTTGGTCCCCTGGGTCCCTTGCCTGCTTCCCCCGGCTTTCCCCTAGCTTTCCCATGTGGAGATTTCCTTCCGGTTCCCTTTGGTACCATTCGGATTTATCGATTCTTTGTCCTTCTGCCCCCCTTCGCTCTGCGCGGCACTTCCTTCTTAGCCTGGTTCTCCTTCACTCTTACGGTTATCTGTCTCCTCCTCCGTTGCCATTTTGCCTAGTTCTGCATAAGCCAAAAAATTCCCAGGACACACGCAATGCGAGGGTTTTAGGTTCCCTAGGCTCCCAACTCTGTTGGCTTATCTTTATAGTCTCCTTTCCTATTCCCGTTTCCTGATTGCCCTTCCTTAAGGAGGAGCCACGACTGGCCCTGCCGCCCAGCCGAGCTATGAACGTGACTGGGCTTCCTTTATCACAAGCTCGTTTAAAGTGCCCTTGTCCCGTCGGCCGACGCGAGGGAGTCCGGGTTAGGCATCTTGCTAGGGGAAGTCTTCCCGAGCAGCATTTCCCATTTTTGACCTTCGGGGTTACGGTTAATCATTAGAAGTCTGCCCCCCTCTTCTTTGTTTTTCTAGTAGGTTTTAGTCATCCACGTCCGAGGCCTATTTCCTATTCTCATCGGCGAACTTCCGTACGCGGCGAACCATACTCGATCTGCCCTATTGACCCGCCTGCGGATGCTAATCCCGCTCTCACCCTCGCGGCTCTTCTGGCTCGGTAGGCTCCTCGAATAATTGAGCCACCCCCGTTAGATAATTCTCCCCTATCTCGATTTCCCTTTGGATTATGCGTTCGCACCCTGTCCGGTCTAGCTGGGGCGCACAAAACATCAGGATGTGGATGACTTCTAGTAATTCGTGGGCCCTGTTTCCCCAGAACGGCCCGTGCTCCACAGCAACATCGTAGAACATCCCAATGGTAGGGAAGGGAAAGTGGCCTGCCCAAACTATTGTTGAGTCTGCTAGCTCCCGCGCCCTTGCAACGCGTTCGAAGACGAGGTCTTTCATAAAACGAGGCACTCGGCATCTCAGCGGTGTGGTCGGTGCCCTAAACTCCCTCAAACCTCCCATTTTCACCCGGGTTAGCAAGCCCACGTTCCTTCTTCCCCTAACCGATTGTCCTATTCGGGTCAACGTCCGGGCGGCCCTTTGAAAGACCGGCGCCAGCTCGTGACCTTGTGCTATCTCTACTCCCAACGAGTGTCAACCGATCTCAGGCAAATACATGGTCCCGGTAACTTCCAGATTAGAAAACAGATCGTCTCCGGGTCCTCGGTGGAGTCTCATCCCTGTCCACCGACATTCTACCAACATAAAGCCGGCATCCCTTCCCAAAGTCACGGCCCTCCATTCTGTGTCGAACCCCCGATAGGTAGAACTCGACGGGAGGGATACTTCCCATCGTCCACCGTTGTTCCAGGGCGGTCCGGGGTACCGGGGCTGGCGTTCCATTCGCACACGGGGCTGGCGTTCCATTCGCTCACGTCTTGCTGTCATTGTTACCTTGGTAATTTCCTGCATAGTCTACATAGAAAGGGTTACAACCAATCTTCACAATCCGCCTACCTACTGCCTCCCTTGCCCTTCGTGTTTTCATTTCTCTTTTCTAGTCCCAACTATCCCTCTATACCCTTGGGAGCGGTAGCCTCCTCTGGCTGTTCGTAAAGCCGATAGAAATCATCTGTGTAGGCTTTGCCCCGACCTACCTCTCGCCGGATGACTCTCCACATCTTCTCATCACTTATTTGTGGAACTCCTGGCCTAGCATTTACTGCTGCTCTTAGAATACAAAGCACCTCGCGCTCTTGTTCGTCCCCGAAAGGCCCCATCTCTAGGAAGGCCCGATAGTATTCTCGATACATTAGTGCTTCGTCAAAATTTAGCCTAGTTACGGCAGTCACCGCCTGCTCCACACGTTCTATGCCTCCCATTCGTCTTAGCAGGAAGGGTGGTAGACTCATCCGTACGACCTCATTTGGCAGCTCAAAAACCCCTTCCGCGGCGACTTTTACCTCAGTCGTCACGTCATCTCGTTCCGGATCTGCAAACTCAAACCCCTCCCGCCAAGTTATTTGCCATGCCCCTTCGAACATTCGTACGGGGTCATCCCCGGAAGCCAAAGCAATCTCAAAGGTCCGCCATCCCTCTTCCGACAGGTGTAAGGATCCCGTCGCATGTACACGCCCTGGGCGGGTGAAGTCTACGCCCCCGAACTCCCCTCTCGCACGTCATTCCAGCTTCACTACTAGGTACACCGTATCTTCCACCAACTCTACCCCCACCCTGTCCATTACCGGATTGCCTATCGTATTTCTTGCCTGCAGGCTTATTTCGACTCTGCCCTCTGATATTCTTGGTGGCAGGATCCCACGAGGTCTATCCGCCCAGAACGTCATTCGTCGGACCATCTCGCAATGTCTTCTTTCCTGCATTCTTAGTCCGATTGCTGCACCCACTGAGATTCCACACTTTTCGTGTTTTAGTCTTTCAACCCTCCCTACGTATCGTACACT